ATATGTGGCTATACGCATGCGAGAAACGAGAGAGAACGAAAAGGCCCAAATGAGTGCGTCCTTTTCTAGATAGGATTACCCCCACTCCTACAATGCGTACTCTAGTACATGCAGGGAATGGAAAGTTACTTTTCAAAAGTAACTAGTTACAGTTACTCGTTACCGAGTAAAAAATGTAACTAGTTACAGTTACAGTTATCGCTTTTTAAAAGTAACTCGTTACAGTTACCGTTACTTGAAAAATAACTTTTCGTTACTTTTCCGTTACTTTTTTAAAATCAATTTAAAAATGTTTTTTTGCATTTTTCTTTTTATATGTAAAACTGACAAATATATAGTTTTTTTAAAAAAAAAAAAAACAATGTAGAATGGCTCAAATAATAAATTAAATAAAAGTAAAATGAGAAGGGTTACGAGCCAAAAATGAAACAGTTTATTTCCGATAAGAACGACGATGACAATGTAATTAAATGTATAAATATATATTAGAACAATACATAGATAAAACAAGATAAAAACAAACGACGTTTCGACACTTATTGTCATCGTCTTTTAAACTGTTTCGCTTTTGGGTTCATAGCCCTTCTCATTTTACTATTATTTAATTTATTTTTTAATTTTTTTTAAACACAATTTTGTAATTCTAAAACCTGTAAAATATGCAGCAAACTGAAATATTTGTATGTCCTATGTATTACATAGAAGATAGAAGTGTAAAATAATTACTGAATCATAACGGCCGAATGTCTATAAGGGCTTTCAAGTCTTATTGATAAGCGTTATAAATAGCATGTATCCAATCGAACCGTGTTCAATCGTGTGCAAAGTAACGACAAAAGTAACTGTAAATTTCGTTACCGTTACCCAAAAAATGTAACTCGTTACCGTTACAGTTACCAAAAAAAGAAAGTAACGCAGTTACCAGTAAAGTTACCAAAAAAGTAACTTGTAACTGTAACTTCGTTACAAGTAACGAGTTACTTCCATTCCCTGCTACTATCTCTATGCATTAAACATAATTTTAATAAATAAATAAATAACTAGAAGGGCAATGAGCCGTAAATACAGAATTAAACGTATATTTAAAAAATTATAAGTATTATATTGAACAGACGTTTCGACACCGATCGGTTATTAATAATTATTAATAACTATAAACTATATATAACTATTATTATTGTTATTAATATTATAGTTAATTATTATTATTTTATTATTATTATTGTTGTTGTTGTTATTAATACTTATAAAATTAAAGTTGAAGGACTCTTTATATGAAAATAATAATTAAAACGAGGTGAAGGACAATGAGAGTCAATTCGTAAGTAAACAAAAAAGCGATTATAACATTAAAAATATAAAAATTATTTAAAGATCAAGTGGTTGAGTTAAAAATAAAAATAAGAAGAAGGAGCATATACCACACGCTGGTTAAAAGTAGCGAAAATTTCGTATATTTAATACTACTAAATTTACATAATTATAATAAACGTTTCGGTCATTAATGTGACCATCTTCAGTATATAAAAAACTTATAATTTAATTCCCTAATATATTTTAAATGAAACTAAGTGCTGAAGCACAACTTTTCGCATGTTCGTCAATTATTCTATACTATAAGATATTAAACAGTTATAATTTGTCCAAATATAAAAGTCAATTCGCAATAGAATGGTGTCAAAATTAAAAAGTGATTCGCATAACGTAACAGTATACAATATAATTTTCTTCATGTCCTTACAATTCAGATAATGAGTTTGTTAAAGTATTGGCATCAACCGT